GTTCAAACCCACCAGCCACTCCTTGGAAGGAAGATGGGGCAATCTACTTCCATAGCGATACTGCCTCGGAAACCCAAGGAGGGGTCGCTATGAGTCGAGTCCAACTCGACAGTACATAACAACAACAACAACAATTTGTAAATTAGACTTTTTCATAGGTATGTGTGTATAGGAAAAACCATAGTACACATAGGGTTAAGTACTATCTGAAGTTTCAGGCCTCCACTGGGGTCTTGGAATGTATCTGTGGACAAGGTAGGGCAACTATAAGTGAGCTTTCAGAACTGTTTAATGTGTATTTCTTGCCAGTGAAATCTTCACAATGTCTTAGTCATGGCTTCATTTTCTCACCCATTAAATAGCTTTGTACAACCAGAATGGTTTAAATGGAAAATACTGACAATTCCACGTGCTGACAAGAACATGGGATAACTGGAACAAGATCTCATACATACATACATACATAGATTTCGTATAGAATGTAAAATGGTACAAACTTTAGGAAAATGTTTGGCAGTACTTTCTAAAGATGAACATGCAATTACCCTTTGTCTAGCAACCCAACCTAGGAAGAGGTTTAAACTACATAAAACCAGTTTGGACCTAAAAAATGGCAATTTCATACGGTCCAACTAACAAATGCCCAAGAGAAATGAGTGCCTTAAGTCCAGTAAAAGGCACATATAAGGATGACCAAGGCAGTTTTATCTGTAAGAGTCAATAACAAACAAAGAATCAAATTTCTAACATATATTCTAAGGTATATTTGTACAATGGAAAACTACATAGTGGTAGACCTAATACCATTATGTTTAATAAGGATGCATCTCATAGAAAAATGTGGAACAAAACTCAAAATCATCAAAAAGACCAGCTTTACTGGTCTGACAGAGTCTGGTAAGACCCCCCGAGACTACAGCCCCTGGAATTCAGGCCTGGGACTGAACTCACTCCCATGGCTTTCATCTGAACAACAGACAAGCATAAAGGGCAAACATTTACACCAGGTACATACACTCCTGGGAATGACCACCCACGGGAGAACGGAGGGGCAGCATTGCACAGGGAGACAGCTCAGGGGCAGGAACGCACAGCATAGGAGGACACAGGGAAGAGGTGACCACAGGGAGGAGGTGGGCAGAGAGCTGCCACACTGTGGGGACTGCAGTCAATGTCATGAAACAAAACATGTATGAACTGCTGTATGGAAAATGACTGTGCTCTGTAAACTTTCACCCAAATCACAATTTAAAAGAAAAAAAATAAGGAACGCATCTCATAGACATAATGTTGAGTGAAAAACACCAGATACAAAAGAAGTGCCATTGTAGAAGTCGATTCATATCCAAGAAAAGGCAAAATGAATCGTAACAATAAAAGTCGAAACAGTGAGTTCCATGGACGGAGGGACAGAAGGAGAGAACTTTGTGAGGGAGTGCCCAGTGAGACAACAAGGGTGCCTGCCGGAGTGTCGAAAATGTCCTCAACCTTGATTTGGACAGGGTGAGTGTGTACGTGTGTGTGCGTGCCTGTGCACCCACGCACATGTGGGCGGACATGCTGTAAAAATTCAAGTTGTTAAGATGTGTGTACTTTACTGTAGACTACGACAGGCCACATTTGTTTCTGAAATAAAAATTTTCTTTTAAAATGGCACTGTCATTGAAAACTTCTCCTTGTTGATTGCAAATTGTAACAGTTAGGTGAACACTTAGGCACCGGGACAGACGTCAGGGAGTAAGGAGGAGGAATTAAACTACAACTGGAAGAGCCGGGCACGTGTCTAACGGTCATCACCTGTCACATACAAACAGTAGCCAAAGACCACAATGCCTACGTCATTCACCTCATATAACCCTTATTACAGTGAACCGTTACGATGGTTCCATTTTTTTAATCAGTCATCATGAGAAACCAGAGAGAAGCCAATGCAAATGGAACTTTAAAGAAAAATAAGAAATTGAGAAGCTACTTACTTCTACAATGTCGTCATCAAACAATAACCAGAAATCATGACTCTTAACTATTGCGATATAATGGCCTCGATTGGGACCACTAGAACAGAGAGAGAGAGAGAGAGAGAATAGTTAATTTTGTACAGTATTTATAGACTTTACTTTCTTATTCTTTTACACCCCAAATCACATGTTGTAGAGAGTAGAAAAACTGAAATGGATGAAAATACCGAGTTATCTGTTCTGTCCAAAAACCAAAAAGATGACAACGACACGGTGCTAATTTGAACAGACATTCAAATTCAAAAGCAAGTCATCAGCGCGCTACCTGCTACGAGAGAGAGCACGTCAGTACTCTGCTTACATACAATCTGTTACTGCATAGAAGTGAATCCGGAAGGAATTAAAATCCTTTACTGTCTTTTTAATACTTTTCAAATTATTTTTTGTAATGTTCAAATTTCCTTTTATGGAAGAGTTAAGTATTTTTTTCTTGCTCGTTTATTTGTTTCAGTCATGGCTTGAACATGCTGAGTTAAACTATAAAAAACACGTAGAGTTATTTCCAAGTCTCATGTCCTTGGGATAGATTGTTTTTTCCCTTCCTTCCTTTCCTCCTTTCAGGAAAGATCCAATGTGATACTTGAAAAGACAAAAGATACCAAATTAAGCCCACAGTTCTGAAGTCAAGATCGAACGTCGTGAAGTTCCTTAAAAGTGGCACCTGCCTGGCGGCCAGTGTCCCGAGTGCCATCTGCACCATCCTCAGCACAACTCTTCAGCATTAGAGTCGCCTCTGCACCTCAGTGCAAACCAAGGTGGTTACAGACGGGAGGCATAAAAATAAATTGAGGAAGGGCTGCTTCTTTTCGGAGAAATGCTTTGCTTATGAAAGGACATGGCAAAGGCTTTCTTCCTTATAAAGCTTAGATATCTTTTTTATTCAATGGTAATTCTATAATTATAAGGATAATTATATTTTGCTTGAAATCATCTTCAGTAGAAATCATTCTTTAAGAGGAATACTATTCTTGAAGTAGTGACCTTAGATATTAGAATGAGTCACTTCCTTCCATGTGTCATGTTTCTCAGATCTTTACCCTGTGGGTGACAGGAATACTTTAGGTGACAGAATGACACAAACGAGAGTGCTTTTTAAACTTTCCACTATAGAGGGAAATAGTTCAAAATGTGGAGAAAAAAAAAAATTTTTAATGAACAAATAAATCGATTTTTTCCATTTCTGTAGGAGTCATCTAAAAAAGTGTTATGTTTCATAGGAAAGGGTTAAAAAAAAAAAAAAATCACTGCCATTGAGATGGTCCCTACTCATAGAGACCCCTCCTTGGGTTTCCGAGGCAGTATCACTACGGAAGTAGATTGTCCAACCTTCCTTCCGAGGAGTGGCTGGTGGGTTTGAACCGCCAGCCTTCTGGTTAGCAGTCAAATGCCTTAGGTACTACACCACCACCAGAGCTCCCATAGGACAGGGTAGGAAATGAAAATAAAACATTTTTCAAAAAGGTGAAAATAAAGAAAATTCACAGAAAGACTGAGAAAGAGAAGTTGAGAGGGGAAGAGGCGGGTGAGTTGAAGACTGGCGATGAGATGAGAGAAGTCAGCCATTTGTTCCTTCAGCCAGACACTCTGAGGAGGACAGGAGACAGAAGGTGACGTCAGAAGTGAATAATGACGAGGAGGTTAAACTTGCATCTCAGGAAGTTGTTTATTAGGGATTTGCATTCTGAACACAAAATATACACAGTTCGATTTTAGCAGTGCCAACTGTGTGCAGATAACTGTGTTGGGATTAGAAAGAGAGCAACAGCTCCCGCCCTGAGGACAGTTTGGGACAGCAGCTGACTGACCAAAACTAAAACACTGGGCAGACGCGAGCAGACCCAGAGGGGCTGGCAAATGGAGCCTTCATCAGGGAGAGGGGAGATTAAGTTCAGGAGGGAGTTGAGGCCCGAGATGAGCGTTAAGAATAATATTTCAAATTCAGTAAATATTTATTGGATAGCTACTACACACCAGACATTGGGAATATGAAGTGAGTGAGTTGGATTGGCATGGATATGCAGCAAATGGCATTCCCCAACAGCTGAAGGATGCAGTGAACTGAAACCCTCCACACTGTTCCACGGAACAGACCTACAGGTAAATTTGCTAAATAAAATGAAGAATGATTGACACGCATTCTTAGTTTTGGGGTCATAAGTCATTTCCTGTCTTAAGCTCTCTCAAAAGGAGACAGACATAGAGACTGATGGATACCGTAGGACACAAAGCAGGAGGCCATGGCGAGTGGTACACACCCAGGGTTTACGCGAATCCAGGGACACAGCGCCATGGTGGTGAAGCGCCCAGAAGAGGACCGAGGACTTCCTGAGAGACTTAAAAAGGTAGGAGAGACGAGAGGAAGAAGGCAAAACTAGAGCGAGAGGAACGCAGGGTGAGAAATGGGTGGGATGGGGTCCGAAGAATGGCTGTGAAGACGCCCTCGGGACTGAGTTCCCACTGAAGTTAGAGAGCCTGAACCGCGAGGGTGGTCCGTCACATCTCCATGCCGTTTTATGCAGCGATTCTGACAAGTGACGAGATACGGACAGACAGAAGGCAGGAGGCTTTGACCATGCCTGACAGCACACACTGTCGTCATAAGGGTTCCTGTGCTCCCCCCAGGGGGAGGATCAATGAGGCTGAGCAAAGGAGGCGGAGTGGGGGGGCCCACGCTGTGGCTCAGAGTCAGGATTTCAGAGCTGGAGATCTTGGGGCTGGAGCAGTTCCAAAGGGTCCAGCAGAAGTCAAGGAGAAAGAAACTGCCAGCAATCGGAAGAGGCAAAGTTAGGGCATTAGAATGTAACAGTATGATTACGTATCACGATCCAAACAGCAGCAGCTAAGCGACTCATACTACCCTTCTGATGCTAGCCCTCCAATGAGGTAGGTATCACTGAGGTCCCAGAATAGGGACTGATGTTTAGGAAGTCATGAATGAGGTCATGGTGGCGACATGCGGCAGAGACGGACCTGAAGGAGGGTTCTTCTCTGAGTGGGAAGCCTCAGCTGTGAACCACTGCACCAAGGACCCTGACACTGTCTGATACTGTTTCACTCATTTTCAGATGTTATTACCCTTCTGTTAGAAAGAGTGGTCCCAAATCTGGGAGAGAAGGATTACTGCTGAGAATAAGAGATGAGGGATGAGGTTGGCATGGGTAGTGGATGTTAAGGACCAACCGTGTCACAGAATTTTATTCTCTCCCAGTTTCCATTAGGGTAAGCCCCTGGGTGAGGGGCGTCTGAATGTTCCACTTACGGACAACTGTAAATCTGCCCTCACTTTCAAACAACTGAACCCACCCCTGCTCTCCACACATTCTTCATTACAATCACCTTCACTCGCTGCATGTGCAACTTTTAAACCTTGAAAAGGCTTCCAGTCTTTTCTTGGACCAAAGTAAGGCTAAGTAAAATCCATATGCACTGGCCCAAGTGACCTACAAATTCCACTTAAAGACACACTTAGGCATGGATCTCAGCCGTTACCCAGGAACTGTCTGTGCATGCTCTGAGCAAAAAGGCAGGAAAGATAAAGATCAGAAAGCTTATTCAGTTGGATAACACGTGCTGTTGGTACAAATTTCCCAAAACCAGGGAAAAAAAGGATGCGTGCCCTGTGTTAGAATTATAAAGGAAATCCTGGACAAATGATGAAGACTGTCCATTCCAAACACACATGCTAATTAGCCTTTGTGGATGCGAGGCTCTTGCAGTTTGAGAATTCTTTTCCGTTTATATTTTATACAGTAAAATGCATAAGCACGTTCACAGAGAAGACACATACACGCTGTTGGAATGGAGGATGAGAGAGAAAGATCACCCTTAGCCGGCCACCAGGAAATGATAAACACACTGAGTGGTGAAAGTCAGGATCTTTGATTGTTTCCAAAGCCAATTTCAATGCTTTTCACAACCATCACCATGATGACTGTATCCAATTAACCACATGAATCATTAGTTTTGCAAAACAGATGTAGGCAGCAGCATATTTTATGAAAGGAAGAGCGATCAAGCATGGAAGGATCAGAAGGGCAGCATTTGCACAGGGAGGCAACTCAGGGGGCAGGATGCAGAGGAAAGAAGGACACAGGGAAGAGGTGACCACAGGGAGGAAGCGGGAAGAGAGCTGCTACACTGTGGGGATTGCAGTCAATGTCAGGAAACAAAATGTGCATGAGCTGCTGAATGGAAAATGAATTTGCTCTGTCAACTTTCACCCAAATCATGATAAATATTAAAAAAATAAAAAGAGAGAGAGAGAGAAAGGGAGGAAGGGAGGGAAGGACAAAAGGAAAGAAAACAAAAAAACTAAGAAGCCTTAAAGTTCCAGGAACTCAGATACAGCACTCAAAGTAGTATTTACACCAGTAAGAATAAAAGTCAGATCAAAGCAATATAATATTTTAATATATAATGGTTTTGAGAAGGAAACAACAAAATGGGTTATGTCTGAAATGTCCAACTTGAAATAAACTGATTGTGATACCAAACCACTGAAGAATAAAGACCTAGGACCACTGCATGCGAGTCTCTCATTGACACACACAGTGGACACTGCTGTACTAACCTAGAAGCTTCCCCCAAGCCCCCACGGCCGCAGTTACCTTCCACAGTGAACCACGACGGCAACCAGGTCGTACATTCTGTCGGGGTTGGTTGCATCTCCCGAAGTGTTAAACAGACGAAGTTCTAACGGAAAAACTACCCGGTAAGAAAGTTTCGTGTATCGATGAAGTTGATCCATGTATTTAAATCTCTTCAGATGGAGAGCTAGAATCATGGGTAGTTTTTTAACTTTCATCCTATTGAAAATAAGCATGAAAAAAAAATTTCTTAAGACGCCCACCATGACCTGAAAGGAATTATCCAGACTTAGGACATTCACGTTCACGTAACCGTTAGTTAATGGTCAGTTTCAACGTGCAGTACTGCCCCGTTTTGTAAATGCCTACCAGCTGCTTTCCTACGGTGAAGCTGGAGGACCGAGTAACATCTTTCAGGTCTTGAGAACTACCCCCACCGCGTGACATCCATCAACACCAACCCAAATAACTAACTCCGTTATAAGTGGCTCCAAAACAGATGGAAGTATATATTTTTGAAATACAGATACCTTATGATACAACCAAATACATTCTTAGTGGTGAGCCTTTCTCAGGCCCAGCAAAACTGAGGACTTTGAAAGGAGCCTTGGGGGTACCCTAGTCAAGTGTTCAGCTGCTAACTGAAAGGTTGGCACTTTGAACCACCAGCTGCTCCGTGGGAGGAAAACGTGTTGGTCTGCTTCTGTGAAGGCTGCAGCCGTGGAAATGAGGGAGGTTCTACCGTGTCCTATAGGGTCACAATGAGTGGGAATCAACTTGAAGGCAATGCATGCGTGTGTGCGCACGCCTGAGTACACGTTTGCAGATGTGTGTGTATCATACAACTAAATGTTTGAGATGCCCATGAGTGGTGGAGGAGCACCTGGTTCCTTGAAACAGTGAATTGCTTTGGATGTCAGTGGAGGACACCATGGCTTTACCCATCTGTAACATGCAGCAGCACGTGAGACCAGAAGACAAGGAGAACAGCAGTAAAGACCACTCCACTCCAGGTGTTTGCCAGAGCGAAGAAACGACTCAAAATCAACAAGAATGGCCATATGCACTCTGGAACGGGAATAAAGATCCTGGAAATGCAGGCAGGACTTTTAAGTTTTTAATTGTAAAACACATGCTATCATGCCTATTCCAAGTCATCTTCATCTAGCCCTTGAATGCAGCTCCGCCCTGAGACCACCTCTGCCCTCTCACTTCACCTCACAACAGTCTGGTCTTCGGAAGGCTCAACACTAGCGGCCACTCTCCCCAACCGTGGCTGTACACATTCACTTAACATCTGGCAAGACTCACTGTATCAAAAGAAGTCGGCTGACACACAGCCATTTCTGGCGGTAGCATCTGACCAAGAGCCAATGGCACCAAAGGAAGAAGTCCCAGCTGCACATTTGCACAGCTTGTCACACTGTACAGTCTCTAGACGACCATGGTTGTTCTTGTCTTGTGAACTCTGAACTCGTGGCAGGTAGAAACCATTTCTTTCCTTAACCTAACATGCCGTGGACACAAGAGGTACTTGACGAATGTCGCAGAATTTAATTCTGTATCGATTAAGGGAAGCAAACATTTTTCCATAGCTTAAAAAAGAAATTTGCTGAGCCACTGCCCTTGAATGAACTGAGGAAACCAAATGACATTGGAGCATTATACGAAATCTGCATTCTATTGATCTTGAGTGTGGTGGGCAGCTTATTTTTCCTAAAATAATGATTATTCAACTCATCTGGGTTTTTAAAAACATTACCCATTGCCTATGTACAGGGAGACAGCTCAGGGGGCAGGAGTCCATGGAGGGATGGACACTGGGAAGAGGTAACTATGGGGAGGAAGTGGGAGGGGAGCTGTTGCATTG